TTATGATTTGACTTGCCACAGCGTATACAAATTTTTGTTTATTTTAGTTACGTACTAGATGTTAGTTACATATATATTTTAATATTTATTATTACTATAGTTTTTCTACTTATCATACCGATGGCATACACTGTAATGCTTGCCATAGTGGTGAAAGGATTTACCAATCGGCGTAAGGTACTCGCCGATTGTTGCCCAGGGTGAGCCTGGCGTACATGAAAGGACTAGTTTTAGTTTTCTTTTGCTTGTCGTAAGACAATGACAATAAATATGTTAACAATGTTCCTTTTAGAAGGACGTACTGTTTGCTTGGTGTATATTTGAGAAATCTAAGGCCCAATTCACATTGCCGGAAAGGATTGGCAGCTAATTTATGTGACGAAATTATACACAGCATTATAAACTTTATTGCTAATATTATTTTAACTGTATCTTCTAATTATTCGTGTCACAATGACTAAAGTTTGAAGAAAGTAAGCAGAGCTAGAAGTAAATGCGGGAATCCGATACAATTTCAGTGCAGTACTACCTTAGTATAATACAGAGCAAGTAGTAGGACATCTACATTTCGTTCGGAGCGTATGATTGTTACATTATTATTTTAGCTGTACCTATCGCTGTAAACATAATTTGAAAAAAGTAAGGTGTCCATGACATTGATTTTTTATACCAACATCGCGCATTGGTACCTTGACTATGAAATATAAATAAAATGCTGAACAATTCTTAGTTTGAGGCACTCATGTTGAAACTACCACAAGCACAATAATAAACACTTCGATTATAATATCTAATGTCACTTTTTAAACACCGAGTGACTGCTTTAACGAATGTACCGCGAGTTTATACGTCTGTTTGCGTCTGTAAACGGCGTGAGGCGGGCGTGTACACAAACAAGCCGCGCTGCTACATTTGTACGGAGTTATCATACTTATCTTATTATACTATATACGCTGGACACTACTACGTTGGACAATAAACTTCTTAGGCAAGCTTTATAGGAGAAATATAGTAGGAATAGAGATTTTTTTTAGGAAAGCCTTTGTAAGTCTTTGCTATACTATACTTTGAATAAAGGTACCTGCCGGCAGTTTGGACTCCCAGTCCGTTTATACTATTCTTTTGGATATAATTTAATGTAAAGATAATATGACATTTAGGCGATTTAAAACTCTGAGGACACTGTAACTGTTATGGACAGCTTACGATCAGGCTCACGACTTGTTACTTGATATTATAAAAGAAAAGAAAAACAAGAATCCTGGAACCTTATGAACCTAGTATTTCAACTTCCAAGGGTGCGAACAAAACCTAGTATTTGAATTTCGAAGGGTGCGATGTGCGAACAAATGCAAATTACAAGGAGACCGAAATTATTAAGACATAATTATCATCTGATGCATATTCACCATATTTTCTAAGTAAAAACTCGCAATTATACTCTTTCTCTCTCAAGTCGTTCCCTCGGATCGTGGTCAGCTACGTGCCTATTTCTGAAGCGGGTGATCTGCCTCCACCTCTTTCTATCCAGAGCGTCCCTTACGACTGTGTGATTATACAGCGTAATGTATATTAAATATATTCCTACACTCGTAAATAGTGTGTGCGGTATAACCCAATAGGTCAACCATTACATTACAATTGATCAGTTAACATGTAGTGTTACTATGTAATTAGCATCATACTTATAAGATCGTTTTGTTTGTTCTGACTTATACGCAACCAGTTCATATTTGTTTGCATCTCATTTTATTTAAAGGTGACAATACCTATGAAAAGGTATTGTCACAAATAAAGTAAAATTTCTCGCAGATTATAATTCAAGTTATGTTCAACAGTTATATACTTGTAATATTGCAACTATTGATATGTAAAAACTGTGTGATAAACCTTAAATAAACGTGCATTTGAGTAAAATAATATCAAGCCCACACAGTCAAATAATCATAATCTAAAGACCAATAAGTCTTTTAATTACAAATGAGTAACTTAGGTCCTAAATTAGAGTGTGACATATCAGATAATGCGTATTTGATGAATATGTTAAATGTGGACGTAATGCTTAACGTATTCATTAAATATGGGTTTTACAAGTGATTAGGTAAACACAGTATTTAACTTGGATATTGTTTGTGCGTCAATAAAACACTTGCATTTGTACATTTCGTGAATAACGTCTTTTGATTAACGCATGATTCACTTAGTTCTTCAGGTAGTGTTACAAACGTAAGTGATAAACGTGTCGCTTCGAGTGAAAGTTCATTACGATTTAATGAGCTCTGATATAACTACCTTATATTTTTATTTTATAACATAATTGACGTTGACTAAATAAAATAAATTTTGTGGCATAGAAAAAAAAGATTGAGTTATTACCATAGAGTAACTATTATTTTTAATTTTATTTCATCATAGTAATCATCAATATTAAGTTAATTGAACATTACGATGTTTTACTACCATGATATTTAACTAGTTTGCTATGATTATTAATACAAAGATCAAACACTAAGGAAAATTCCTTCGACCCGGCTGGATTCAAACTAGCGCCTTCAGCATACCGTGACTGGCGCTCTGAAAAGAAAAACTTTAAAGAATGTCTCACAAGTCGTTAAAAACCAAAAACAAAGCAACAAGCACAGAAGAATTCGCAAGGTCTGTTGCGATCTGGTTCGTTCCGAAGCTCACTTGGGTGAGCTTCAGCCACGGTATGCTGAAGGCGCTGGTTTAAATCGGGCTGGATCAAAGGAATTTTTCCTAGTGATTGATCTTTGTATTTTTTTATAACATCAAGTGACGGGACGAACAACTCGTGCGACTGATGTCAAGCTACACACCTGGCCATAACAGTTACAGTGCCACTCAGGGCTTTAAATTGCAAAGATCTGAGAGGCACTACCACTGCGCCCGTTACCCTGAAACATAAGTTGACAAGTACCTTGTGCCTGAAATTTCACCAGCACCTATGCCTTCAAAACCGGAACATAATAATGCTGACATTACTACTTGGCGGCAGAAATAGGTAAGGTGTCAGTACTACCCTGGACGAACTCTTTCACAAGGAGCTCTACTGATAAACTAGATTAATAATTATACAGTACTTAATTATTGTATCACTTTCTAAATGAATCAATTAATAAAAGATTATGTACATAAAACTTGCTTTTGTTATATCATGTATTACAGGTATTTATGAACACGTCTGCACTGAAATCATTTTTCTATATTTTGAAATCTGTTAAAAGAACAATAAATGAAATGCAGCTATATGATCTACTTGAATCGATCGTTTAATGTATATTTACACAAACAACTATATATATCGAAAACAGAATGGAAAACAATATATTACATAACAAGTTTTGTTGGTATTCCTCTAAGTCATGTTAGTATACATATTCGCTGCATTTAAAAATAAAGGCCCAATCCAAAATAGATCCTTTTTTGACCTATTACTAAGATTTTTTCAAAACATGATAAACTTTATTCTGAATGGGACACCGAACTAGTCATTGCATAAAATAATCATGTGCAAGGGTTGGGACAGTCTACGATACATGTCAATTGTAAGCGGCTGACACGTCTCAGTTATTATAAACCATCTTCCTTATGAATTAAATGCTATTGAAATAGGCCACTATTCTAGAAAGCCATCGGTGTACATGGTTTATTTTAGTGAGTACAATGCACGACAACATAATAAAATGTGGATTCAACTACATTGAAATCTAGATTGTATCTCAGTAGATAACTCAATATAAAATATAAACGTAACATATTGTTCTCTCAGAAAACCTCTTCGCATTCCTTCTTTTACCTTCTAAAAAAATATAACAGTCAGAAGATGATAAATGATAATTATTGCAACAGTGGTATGTAAAATCTAATATCGATAAAGGCATCATAAAATAGGTATATACAATAACATAAGTAAGTACAGAGCAAATATCAAATGCAAAACAATTTTGAAAAAAGCATAAGGCCTTTATTAAAGTCCGTATTGTTTCTGGTCGTTTTTTGTAACATTGTGTGAATCACAGCCGTATTATTAAAGCAATATTTGACTAAAGAATGAACAACGGAATCGTAAATTATTATGAGATAAACTTCTTTTGATCTGTATCACTTTTAAAATAGCGTTGTATTTTTTTAAGTCAACATTTTCTCTTATTGTTAAAAATTGCAAAATGATGGTGGTTTTTTTTTTTGTTTATATTGTAATTATGTTGAAATTATATTTGATTAATAAAATGTTAAAAAATTGTTTCAAATCTGTTATGATTATAACGTATATCTACTGCAAAGTTAATAATTCGTATTTAGACTAATGGTTTAGCTAAAAACCTCAATAAATTAAAAAAAAATCTATTGCAAAGCGTTTTTTTAATTAAAACTTAAATAGTTGATTTGTAAGCTAGTAACTTAAAGCACATTTCTGTGAATTACGTACTACAGAGAATGCTCAACGGAATCCTTACTCTGTAATCTAACAAGGAGGTCAGTGAGTCAGCATCAGCCACGTTGCCTTCAATAACACGATCTATTAGTTCACAACGCCGCCCGACGCGCCACGTTATCCGTGAAAAGGACCTCCTCCACGAACATTTTTTACTATTTAACCCATTTCCCCTTTTGACACGGAATTACGCCCCCCACGGTGGCATTCTAGTAGCACAAAAATTCAAAAAACATTCCTTTTTTTCCAAAAAGAAATAAAAGTTTGATAACAACAACATTTAGAAAACAAGAGACAGATTTAAATTTTATAATAAAACGACGTTTTTTAAAGAGTTTTTAAATTTAATGTTTAATACTTACAATCAATTACATATGTAACAATATTTACAATCAAATAATATCTACAAAAATAAACAAAATTAAATCATATTATTCTTAACTAAAATAAATAACAATTACACAGTATTCCTGTTATATATCATTAATAGAATACTGTTACCAAATGCAATATAAAGCGTATTTACAGTAACATTGTTTTTCTTCGTTAACTATTATAATATCTCAATATTGGATATTTCTCAAAGTTTTATAGTATACTTAAAATGTTTCAAGTAAGTATCTAATTGGCTATTTAGAAAATTGACAAAAATGTTTCGTTATATTAATAATTCTACTGTATACTCATCTCAAATATAATAACCATTAGCTATAGGACCTAAATACGTGAGATCACTTAATTTAAAATTGCCTACACATTCGGAACTCTACCGCGTACACATGGGCGAGCGAATAGCCGCTCTACCGTAGGCCTAAATTTATTTTACAATTTAGCCATCGCACATACAGGACTTTTGTCCGCCATACTTATTTATTGGTAATTTTATTATTTAAAAAACACTCACTTTGAACATCTAACTATCTTGATATCTTCTTATTGTAAACAAGAAGGAACTAAAGATCTACCAATTCGCAATCTGGCGAAATGAAGTTACTTAGATAAGTATGAAATATTCTAAATATTTTATAAAAGGACAACAATATTAATATTTAGATTGATTTATGTACTTACAATCTAGCATTGCACGAAATGTCTGAACAAGTGAGTGTATGTTGATGTCACGCGACGGGCAGCGGCGCCGGCGGCGGCGGCAGGTAGCACGGGCGCAGCGCATGCGCCGCCGCTTGCAGCAGCTCTGCATGGTACCGCTGTGCCGCCAGAACATACGGTGATGGTAGGCCTAGCTCCAGCCGCGGCAAAGCTGCCACGCTCAGCATGGGCTGCGGGTGATGTGGCGGAGAAGGTGAACACCGTGGCGGCTCAGGTTCTAACAGTGCGTCTATTGTAAAAGCTCTACGAGGTCTCTCTTGGGGTAAAATCGTTATTGCAGCTGGCTCTGGAATCTCAGCAGGTTCTGGACTTAGCTGCGGACATAACTGCGGCGTGTATAAGGCGGCTGACGGTAGAGTCGGCGGTGGTAATGGTGCGCTCGCCTGTCGTGCCAGAAAAGCTCGATTAAAACTGGCAAGGGCCGCGAGTTCTGCGTTCAAGTTGTCCTTCTCGCCTTTTTGCAGCTTGAATCTCTTGCGGCGACGCAGCAGCGAGCCATTCTCGAACATGTCGAAAGCCTGAGGGTGCAGCGTCCAATAGGCACCCTTGCCCGGCCGGTCCGGCCGCCGCGGCACCTTTACGAAGCAGTCATTAAACGAGAGATTGTGCCTCAGTGAATTCTGCCAGCGCTGCGTATTACGCCGGTAGTACGGAAAGCGGTCTGTGATGAATTTGTAGATATCCGACAGCGGCAACATGCGCTCCGGCGAACTCCAGATGGCCATGGCTGTCAGAGAAATATACGAGTAGGGTGGTTTTTGGTCACCATAAGACTCACGTGAAGGTCGTGGCATTGTCACTTCCACCAATTATCAAGTTAAGTAAAATGTATATGTGTAAAGTTAATGAACAATATCGACACCAGCTTATGGTCGCGTCACAACGGTACCAAATGTGGAGAGAAACTGAGGTGCGGTACGGTAGTGTGGCCCGCCCGCCCGGCCGCAGCGGCGCTCGGCGCCCCGTTCGCAGGCATTGCACCACATTATTGGCTGGCTGGTCGACCAATCCGGAGCCCGCAATGTCAGGTATGATGTCGGCTTTCGCTCCACTAACAAGGAATTTAAATTGATATTATGTTTATATTGCCTCCAAATATCTTTTGTGATGACACCGCTTTTTATTTAGCGTATGTAAATTACGATGATACAGAAAAAGAGATTTGAATTATACACCAATTTAACGATGAATGAGTATTATTAAAATTCTCAGCATTATAATTTGATCGGCGAGATGAAACAGTCGTAGTGAATTGATATGATACATTGTACCCGTAAGTGAACTTCAAATTGTAAATGAGGTGTTGTGCTCGCTGTAGAGCCCAAACAAAATCCAATGGATCATATTATTATACATATACTTATTGTATTAGTTTGATTTCGTCAAAATTATGCAATAATTTGACTAAGACTTTTAAGTGTTTCTATTTTTGATCAGTTATTTTAAAATACACAATTTTTAATGTTCATAATCATAACAAAAATTAAAAATAATAATACTTTAATAAAACTTACATATAATTTAATAAAAAATTCAATTGTGGATAGTCGCCATTTATTACAACGAAGTTCTAAAAGTAATTTAAACATATAAATAGATTTTTGAGTAGCGAAATAATTCACATTTTAAAACAAACCTTTATTTTTATGAAAAAAAATGTAATTTCTTTGTACAAAAGCAAACTGTATAAATCCAAAAACAAAAAAGCGAACGCATCGATCACGATCTCGGCTTTTTTTACTCTACCTTTATTTCAGAACCGTTTGTCGAATCTGTATAAAGCGGAAAGGTGGTCGAACTTGCGGGGTCGTAGCAAAAACACGAAAATATGCGGAGTGACAACCGAACGTCACGTCACCAATTCACGTGGTCTTCAGTGCATAGCTAGCAAGACTATGCTACAAACCGACATAAAAACCATCTATCTGACTTCAGAGATTTTTTTAGGCCACCGTAAACTATTTATATATTTACTTACCGCAAATGTTAAGTACGAACTTCCTCCGTGAATAATACTTAGTATTAGGTTAGACAACAGTATTAGGTTAAGTCTACCATGTTGGCCCATTGCTTAATTCTTAAGTTCATTTGTTTCGTGTAGTACCTGCAATACCCAGGATTTGTTTATGATTTTATTTATTTGCGTTTACAAGAGAGTAATTTTTGCATAATTTCTTTAATTATTTTTTATTTAAGTATTTTCTTTTAAAAATAGGTAGGTAAGTATCGAATTACCGAATGTGGGAGTTACAGAGCTATAAATGTGACTGTTCAGTTACAATATACTGTATTGTGCTACCAAAATAACTAAAAGTAACGTTGGACGCTGTCGAATGTATACTAACTAACCTGTGTTAAAATGAATAATAACCTACTAAAAAATAACCACAAAATTTACCGACAAAATTAATCATATTTAGCAAACAATCAAGAACCTGTTTAAATCACAAGTTTAGGGAAAAAATCAATTCTTCCGAATAATATAGGTACTAAACTTATGTCCCATAATAGTACATACTTCCGTATGACGGAAGCGTGTAGCTTACCATCAGGCGCACGACTTGTTCATTCCGTCATTTAATATCATAAAAAAAAAAAACAAGCACCAAAATTTATGAAATGTACCTAAAAGGCGCCTATTAAATTTATAATAGGTGATTTATGATAAAAATGGCTGATAACAAAAGTACTGAACTTTCAATATTCCATTCGCTTGTTTCCGTATTCTAATTTGCACAAAAATTTTCGGTAACTCATTCTTCTAATCGTATCGATGGCATACACTATATTATTGTAACCCAGATATAGTTATTCCCACTAACCGCGTCACTAGTAGTAGCCGCCAAACTAAATGTGGGATGTTTGCCATCGTGATGAAAGGATTTCCCAGTTGGCGTAACGTACTCGATTGTTGCCCAGGGTACGACAGACGTCCGGAGGACATGGATAGTGCGCCATTGCGAGGAGGCTCCTTTTGGTATCAAGTGATTTTTTTATTTATTTATATAAAATATATCTGTTTTTAAATTTTCTATACTGTTGATTTGCACAGCAGCTGAAAACAGCTGTTGTTAGAGTTGTTTATATCGTTCCAACGAAAAAACAAAACGATATACTTACTTGAAGAAAATACGTTTACAGATATTTGAATACTAAGGTTGTACCTTTTATCGCATTTGCGTTGTTGACCGTTGGATATATAATATTAACTCTCCTGTGCCGGTAATTGCACTGCCTCTCTCTACCTTTCAATCGTCATCAGTGCTGCTTTACGGTAGAAACAGGTAACAGGGCGATAACGAAAAACATGTAGTCAAATGTGAAATGGCATAGCGTAACGAATATTTTAGTTTTTCTATCTGAACAAGTCTAAAATTTATTTTTTTAAATTCACTTGAAGAAATGTAAAAGTGTGTAAATGTGGCGCTGGTATTAATTATATAATTATTAATTTATATAATAATATGTACATTATACATTGTTGTTGTCTTGAATTTTAAGTAGCAATAAAAACTATCAAGTGCCCGTCGAACTCGCATACAAAAGGATCTTTGGATCCAAAACATTTTCAATAGACCAAAAAGTAAAACAGACTTAAACACAAATAGAAAATATAAAATAGTTATTTGTTATGCAAGGCTGCAAGGTTGTTGTTTGACACGAGTGCTTGTATTGAAACCTAAGCAAACGAAGGCAGCTAAGACTGATTCAAAAATAGATTCCTGAGCGTAAGCGAGGTTTCAAGACACGAGACGCAAAACAATTTGCTGCCGACCGAAACACACAACTTTTCCCCTCGCTATAGCGAGGGAAATGGTAGATGAAAGAAAAACAATTGAACTATAAAACATCAGTTTTTTAAATTAAAAGAAAAAGTTTATCTTCGGATGCATTCTGAATTTACACCTCATCAATTTTCATTCTGGCTTGTACTTTTATTTTGTGTGATTATGTGATTATTGAAGTTATTTTGGTTTTTCGACGAATTAAAATAAGTTAATAAACACAATTAGTTATCATTGTCAATGTAATGTCAACAATAAAAATAATAAAATATACCAACGGACTTATATTATATAAATAAGTCAGGACAAATCGCGTAGTTGAACGTGTCATTATCTTTTTTTTTCATCGAAAGAAAAAGTTAGGTGCACCACAGTCCATTGTCAAGTTCGAATTTCAAAAAGCTTTTCCACGCTAGCATGCAAAAAACGCTT